GGGCTGTGTGCGACAAAATATGGAGGGGCGTTGAGCCCCTCGACGATGTAGAAATCTTCAGGCCATGAGATGCTTATAACGACTTAGAGGTTGGCTTCCTCGGAGGAAGGCACTTCTTCCTCGACCTTATGAGATTCCTGGGCATCTGGTCGAGGAGCTTCCTTTCATTTGGCGAACTGCTTCAGATGCCCGTCCTTGATAAGTATTTCGATGGCATTCTTCAGGTGGATGCATTCTTCATTTATATGGACATGGCTCTTGTGGAACTGAAAATATTTAGATTTATCAGTGTTCGGTTTGGACGGTATCTGCTTAGGGAACCGGGCTCCTGCCTGCCAAAATTTTGAGTTGGCGCACTCAACGAGGATCTTTTCCCTTGAAACTATCAGGGGAGTGTAATCTTGGAACCGCTGAAGGGTCCCTTGTTATCCTGGGGCTTAAGGAGACGATCTTCTCGTCTTTTATGTCCTCGATGGGATGTAGAGGGCTCGTCGGACCTGGATGGTCGGGCGTTTTCCACGTGCCCGGAATCACGGGCAGAGCTGGTAGCCTCATTTTCCTTGTATTGAATGTACGCTTGCGCTTTGAGGAGGAAGGCATTCAGTGTTATCGGGGGCCGAATGCCTACAACTTTAGCAAATTCTGTGCGGGGATGAAGCTTACGTTCGAGTAGAAACTTTTTCATGTCATCGGTGGTAGAAACTTGGACGACCTCTTTGTTGAATCTTTCAATGTAGGCTCGTAGGGGTTCATCCCTCCCTTGAATGATGGCCTCAAGGGAGGCTTCGGATGACAGCGGGAGGCCGTGAAGTGTTTGGAGAAGAGTCTCCCCAGTTGTCTCCATGAGGTGATAAAGTCGTCAGGAAGCCCTTTGTACCATGTCATTGCCCTCTTCCTAAGCATGGTCGGGAGTAACCTACACTTGATAGCGCCCCAGGCGCCGTGATAGTCAAGCAGCGTATCGATATTTTTGATGTGCTCATTGGGGTCAGTTGTTCCGTCGTATGTTCCTAGATAGGGGGTTTCTCTAGTCATTTTGGGAGGCGCATGACCATGATCTCCTAGGACAACGGGCCACGAGGCTCGTCGTTGTTGCTGTTGTTGGTCCAAGACGGGGAGGAGGTGTCCCGTCTGTAGGTATGGTGACGGTCTCGTCGGGGTTCGTGCTCGGCCCTTGGTTCTGGGAGGAGGCGAACATTGGGACTCTACTTGGTGGTCTCTTCTGGTCCTCTTGGGTTGAGGGGCAATGCTGGTTCCGGGGAGAAATCTGGTCACGTTTGCGGATGGGGAGGGGGACTCCGTCGTTGCTAGCGTTGTTTCCTCGGTGGAGGGGATCTTGGATGACTAGACTCTTCTAATGCTCCAATCCTTGCGTTCTGGTTGAGGATTAGGAGGTTGGTTTTGTCGAGAACCTCGAGGAGGGCCGCCATGGCCGGGTCGACGCTGGGCGGAACTGGAACTAGAAGGTGCTATGGGATAAGTGGGGCTTCGTCGTGATCTGCACGAGTAGGAGATAGGGAAGCTGTGGATCTGTCCTTTTATCGGAGGACGTCGCCGCCATGAAAGGTGGTGGCCCCATCAGCATCAGTCTTGCGACGTGGAGAAAAGCAGAGTTACAAGCATTAAGATTGTTGTCACGGGCGGCCATGATTAGAAATTTGAAGAATTGTTTTCTGTCTTGTGTTCTATGAAGAGAAAAAAGACGGGGATAATAAGTTTCCCCACAGACGGAGCCACTGGTCTTATAGGTTGATTAGAACCTGCGGTGGGCCAAAGACAAACGTCTTTGATGCTGGGTGTGAAAGAGGAAGAGGGGGTGTACCTGCAACGAACTCCGATGCTAAAGTAAGAAAATGAGCAAGAGAGAGAGAGAGAGCAAGTACAAAATATGAGTGTTTCAGGGTGAATATTGGATACCTGTCCCTCTCAAGTGAGAGGGTTTTTATAGTGCCCCCAGCGCTTGGCCATTGGTCCCTATTTTTGGAGCGAGATAACTGTTTCTCGAAGAAAAGGTATCTGCCAGAACTAGCCGTTGGGACGAGTGTCATACCCCAAATTTTGACCCATAGATTCCATTAACATTCTAGGAGAATCAAACATTGTTTCCTAACCCTAATCTTGTTTCAAGTTTTTGTTGTTGAGGTTCATCTGAATTAAGGTTTTGCACCTTGGGAATCAAGAGGACTATTGTTTGATCAGTCAATGTTTTGGATTGGTCATCTTCAAATCAAGTTTCCATACATTCAAGGAGCTTATATTCAACAAGAATCAAGTGCTAATTAATCTCATTGCAAGTCAATTGAAGTCCAACTTCATAAATTAGGGTTTTGTCAAGAAAAGTCAACTGTTCCTTTGACTTTTGATGCAAGCATGATCCCAAGTCTTGGGACATGATTCAACATGTTCATATACATCCTTAAAGCCTATCTAGGATGCTTGAGAAGTCTCAAGATGAAAATTCATTGAAGATCACACAGTTGAATTCACCCAATACAAATTTCATCTGACAAAGTCAACTTTGACTTTTAGGATTTTTGGTTCAAATTGAAGCTTCCAAGAAAAATTTCATCAAATATGTTTAACCAATGAATTTGATCATGAAGAAATAAAGATTTGAGAGGTTTCTTGTAAAAGAATAAAACTTGGATAACTTGAATTTTTTTCCAAGTGTGAGAAGAAACCCTAATTTTGGTGACAACTTTGAAAGGCCATAACTTTCAATCCACACATCCATTTTTTGAGTTCCAAGGATCAATTTAAAGATCTCCTCATTTACTATAAAATTATTCTAGTTACCTATAAGTAAAAGATGCTTATATTTTGAGTTATGAAGCTTCAAAGTTTGGAAAAATCTTTAAACACTTAGAAATTTTTCAAAACAACTTTGTTACTTCAATTTTCAGCCAACTTCAAGGTTGATTTTCATCATGCTCCCTTTAGATTTAAGAATTTTATCAAACATGAAAGTTGTAGATCATGTTTAGGGATTTTCAGAAAGTACAAGAACTCATCGATGCCATTTTTGAGCTATGAGTTTCGAAGAAGGGAAGTTAGCCTTCCACACTTGAAGTTTTAGTCATTTTCATGCCAAAGACAAGTTGCAAGATCAAGCCAATATGCAAAATCCTTTGAATGACAACCGTGAGACTTGCATATCTATTTATAATTAGAAAGTTGAACTACTTTTGGAGTCATTACACAAATGTTTGAGCCATGATTCAAATTCCATACCATTTATGGAAGTTTTGGACATAAAGCTTGCAATGCCATTTTCAAAAAGCAACTCTGAGTACAACTAGTTTTTCTTGAGACCACAACTTGTTCCATCTACAGAAGAAATATCTAGAGTATCCAACCACTCAAGATCTCATTGTACCTTTGCCTTGAAACCATGGAAAATCACCAAACCTCAAGTTAGAATTCAACCAAACCATGGAACTACCAAGTTACAAATTCTGCATAACCTGATCTCAATCCATGCCCTATAAATAGAGGCTCAATTCATGCTTCAAGGAGGGCAGAAAAACAAATTGAGAGAGCTAAGAGAGAGAGCAATTACATCTTAAACCACCTTGTGCCAAAAATCTCAATCTTGCACAAACATAGCTAGTTCCATTTCCATACCTCAAACCATCAAAGCAACTGTCCTAACATGCCACAAAATAGATTTCGAAGGTGTCTAAACCTTTATTTCCATTCAAAACCTCCTAGAACAAAAAGTCAACCTTCAAAACCAAGTTTTGTTGCCTTTCTGCACCTTCTACACCAAAGTTTGTTTATGATCTTTTCCAAATTATTTGATCCTTCAAAATCAATCCTCAAACATGTCTTGAACTAACCACAATCTAAAATTCTGTCTGTGACTCCATTTGGCTAGGGTTCAAGATTCCATTTTCCTCATTTTGCAAGAAGGAAGTGATATCATGTTCCAATTGTTTCCAACTGCTTCCAAGCACTCCAAAGCTTCTTAAGAGGTCCACTTGAGGTGTCCAAAGCCTTAAAACATTTATATAGCAGCTTGCTTCGAAGTTCAAATCTTTGCTTCAAGAGGTAAGTGCTCTGAACTAGAACTTTGCGAACCATGTTATGCTTTGATGTGAATTGACCATAAACATGTTTAATATGTCACATGTGATGTGTTAGAACCATTTCTTGTTGATTAACATGATTGTATGAGACTGTACCATTGAATTTGCAAATTTGAGCTCTTTAGGTCTTGCTACCATGTTTTGAGTTACAAGCATTTTTAGACAATTCTAAGTGTACCACTGAATTCTTGGTGAAAAAATATGCAAATTTGATCTTTGGATCATCCAATTTCATTGAGTATTTATGGAGATACAAGTGCTCTTGCAAAACTGAAATTTGAAGAAGATGAAGTTCAGCCATGGGCGCTTCAAGTCATCTTCAGGCTTATGATTTTATTTAGAGAGGTGATACAATAGATATATCACCACTCCATTGGTTTACTAAAAAAATGCATGAAATGTATATTGGATTGTTCTAAAAATATATCTCAAAAATTACTTTTTTTTAAAATATAACGAGAGATTCAGTTGAAATATTTTTGAGTGAGACGCAGATTATATTCCGTATTTTTCAACCACGTTGGTGGGAATAGCAATTCCCTAATATTAAGACAACTAGCCCATTGTTCCAATACAAACCAGCAAGAACAAAGCCCAACTTATATATATATAGAAACAGTCACACACACCACGACGCAGTTCCTCCGCTGACGGTGACGGAGGCTGCCAAGTTGAAACCGGTACACCCTTCTCAAATCTCAACTAACACACAACACCAATACTTCACTTTCAAATCTTCAAAACGACATCGTATATAGGTATGCATTTTCTTCCACCACATCTAATCTAATACTATTATATCATAATATTCCACAATGCATACTGTTCAACTTCCCCAACCAAGAATCGCTAATCGACCATTTATGTAATTAATTTAGTTCGATTTAACTTAATGCGGTTGTAGGGCTTCTCATGGAGACGCAACCACACGTTAATTTGCAGCACGCAACCGTTTCTTCCAGTGACGCCGATAACCTACCCAACGACGCGGTGGCTGATGTGGTGGCTGATGTTTCAAATCACAGGTGATTTGTGAATTCACTTGCTCGTTTTTCTGTTCGAGAAACTGTTGGAATTAATTTTGTTCTTGTGGTTGGTTTTTTTAGAGTCACTGAAGAAAAAACCGATGTTTCAAGAGACGAAGTTATTCGGATTCTTCAAGCTATTGCATCCTCCGGGAGGTTCTGGTGAGAGTTACTTCTGTGTTTGGTAGATACCGTAAGGGATCTTAGTTTGTTTCTGGCTGTGATTTATTCTATAAAACACCACAAACACCATACACAGCACTGATAGTATTTTATAAAAATGGAAGTGATTGAATGTAGCCATTTGTCAGATAGCTGAAATTGTAGTGCTTTTTGCTCTTTAAATGGATAATGGTATTTCCTTGCGTCAATTTGAAATGTAGATATGTCTTTTGGTGCCATTGACTATACTACTACATTATGTTTTTGCTCTAATAATATTGGAGTCTTTGACTATGATAATTAGTTATTTTATGATACAATTAATGTTTATTCCTTTTAGGTCCAATTGCAGCACTACACCCTTTTTGAATTGATTCAGTTAAGTGTACTTTGCTAAAGGATTTCTAACTGCAAATGGAAATTAACGACTTGCGAAAACTTTGAAATTGTTCTATTATTTATTTGTATGGTTGCTTTAGTGAGCCTAAAATGCATATGGAGAATACAGAGTATTTAATTACACCGAATCACAACGTTATAGTGCTGATGCGGCCTCACTACCTTCTGTTGTCAGAGGATGTTGGGTTTGGTACTGTGGGCTGACTAGATAGAGAAGCGTCCAATAGTTAGAGGAGGGAGATTAAGAAATATTGGTTATTCATGGATATTTAGATATGAATGATTTATCTTTGGATGTAATATGTGCCTGGTTTTTACGGGATTGATTGTTCTATGATGCTGATCCCACCTTATGAGGTCTTAGTGGATGTTGTTGTTGTGTTATCTGTCCCCTCACTGTACCGTCCTTGAGGTTTTGATTCAATTACCCAGTCATTATGTTTTTGTCTCTGTGCATGTTATCGGTTAAGTTTATTTTTGTGTTATTGTTGTAGTTGCTAAGGGTTTATTGTTCAAGATTGATCATTAACCTTAGCCTCTATGTTCCTTAGACTGAGATTGATTGTGTCTGTTAGCTGTGATATTTACACATGCTTGTATTTAAAGTATTTGCATATACTTTCTAATATTTATTCAGAAGCCACAATCATTGTATTCACTACAGTAGCTAAGTTAAAAGATACTTGACTTGGAGATGGAATGCACTTTAAAAACTGGTATGGTGAATTTTTGTCTAACAGGCATGACTGGGATAATCTCAAGAGTATGCTATCATTTCAGCTGAAGCAGGTATGGGGAGGTATGCTAGATGCATTCTTCTTTATATTATGTTAATTCGTAGAGGTATGCTGGCATGTAGCTTTTCATTTTTTTTTGTTCATATATAGTTTATTGGAATTTTATTATTCATGCATCATACTTCTAACGTGATATTTTTCATCTTTTATTTGTTGTACAGGTATTGTCCGAGTACCCTGAGGCAAAAATGACAAGTGAGCAGCAATATGCTTCACTAAGAGAATCCTACTCTGATTTGGTCAACAAATTGAATGATGGTATGGTATACTACCTAGTTCCACTATTTTTTTTTTTGGTATCATTCAATTTCATAGACATCAATTGAGAGAACTTAATATTTGTTTTTAAAATATTGAGAATTAGATTAATATTCTACTAGTCTTTAGTATGTGAATAATGTTGTAAACTATTAAATTACTTTTTCAAAAACTAATAAACGTATTTTGGGAATATTAATTTTAAAGCTGTGGGATCCAAACATTAGCCATAGCTACCAGCGCGTCATTTTTCTATATGTGTAATTATAATACCTGCGTAGATAATTTGATGCAAATATACTGCAAACTATTAATGGTAAAATAAGTGGCTTTTCTGTCATCTCTACATAGAATAGTATATTATTTTGTAACAATTTTCTTAGAGAAAGGTCTATTCTAACATATTTGAATTCTTACAATAGTTTTGACTTTTGAGTTGGCCAACATAGATGTCTGGAACGAAGATTAACTGACACTTAATGAAACCAAAGCTCTTAGATGAGTATCATTGAGACATAAACTTCCTAGTGAATGGCATCAGTTGCGTTGATCAAGAGTATCCACACATTCTGGTTTCCAATTTTACTTTAAACTAGTTGATGCCATAATGTAGTGACTGCCATTTAGCTGCTAAACATTTTCTTATATGCCAATTTTGTTAGACTCGGCCCAGATCCTGTTCTTTCTTAATCATTGACATGCAACAAATCTCTTGAATAACGATCTCCTTTTAGGTTGCATATGCCATGTTACCTTGATGCTTATATTCTTTTAGTAGTTTGAAGCTGTTACTATTAGTTGCGGTACTAATTATTTTTTGGGTAATTAACTCTGAAAATCTTTTCTGGATTCCAGCACTTACGTGTTTTATTGATGGCCCACCATTTACATTGCAAAGGGTTTGTGAGGTAAATTTTCAGTGCAATATTATATCTTGGCTCCAAGTTTCGTCATGTTTAACATGATAATACAGCACATTGTTGTCTGATAGCTTGTATTGAACAGATTCTATTGGACGCAAAAAACATTTATCCAAATCTTTCCAAGCTTGCTTTAGCTCTTGAAAAGGTACACATCATAATGTGACATGTGCACTACTTTTATTTATCAAAATTAAAGATCCTGTATTTTGTAAATGGTTAATCATTCATTTTTTTGGTTTTTACGTGAATTATAGATAACTTGTTTAACATTTTGCTTGACTTCTGTATGGTGTTTTTCTCTGTAGAATTTGTTAGTTACATCTACATTAACAATATGCACTGATCCATATCCACAAGAACCAGTACAAGAGACTGATACCATTGAGAAGCCAAGCGAAAAACAGCAGGAGCAGCAATCTGATGGCGCGCAAAATGGTACTGAGCCTTTGGTCACAGACAGCGACGAAGTAATGGTTGAGGCTGATACGACTGATGATGTGACCATTGAAATGGAAACTTTTGAAGACGCCAAATCATCAGAAAATGATCCCGAGCCCAATGCTAATGATGCACAAGCTTTGTGATTACTATCCATATTTAAGTGCAGAAACTGTTGAGCATAGACTCGGACATTTTCTCACAATGAACTTCAAATGCCGAGAGCAATGTGTATGAGGGATGAGTCCTTAGTGTTATTAAGCTCCGCTTCTGATTGTTTTCATAGCACTTAAAATCAGAACAAAGTTCCTGTTTATTATCTCTTGAATGTTATGCTTGTATTGGTAGCATGAGCTTGAATATCTCTCACTGTAATCTGCTTTTAATTTGTGCTCTGAAATTAAATTCATAAACTAGTTCTTGAACATTGCAATTCTTATCAGCATATGCCAAAAGAAAGAAATATTAAGCTAGTATTAATAAGTTTGAGTCTGATTACAAAAATTGAATCCATTATGTCCTTATACATGAATGGAAATCTCTATAATATAAGAAATCTAAGTGTTCTGAAAAAATCAATTTTGTCCCTTGCTAAAAATTATTTTCTAAAAATGCTTTTTCGAACTTATTGTCTGGCTGATCCAAATATAACTATCATTTTTATTGAAATTGTCTATTTAATTCTCAATTATGCTTTGCTTTTCTAAAACACGGTTCAATTTAGACCAAATGCCAACCGTTGGGTTTCTTTCTTTCTACACTCTTCAAAAGCAAACATCACTTCTGTGTTGTTGGGTCTAATCCATCTGTTCGCTTCAGAAACCCATTTTCTCCTATTTCATCTATTTTCAGCTTCTATTCTCCAACTTCATTTAATTTCAACTTCCTTTTCCTTTTCCACCGTATCAAGATATTACACTAAATTTGAAAAAGAACATCAAAGATGCAAGTATTTATTTATCACTGTGTTGTGCGTCTGTGTTCTTCCCCCCTTTTTCCCTCACTTTCTTTGTTATCTCCTCTATGACCTAACTGTGTTTCCATCAAAATTGTGAGATCTGCCTCCAATGTTTCGATATTTTGATTTTTTGTTTTCTCTTATTGTGTTTCCTACTCAGATCTGCATTGAGTAACCATTGATATTGATTTTTCTGCTACAACTGGAACTCACTGCTATAGATTTATTTTTTCCCTCTTTCTTTTATGATTTATTTGTTGTTCTGTTTCTGTATTTATGTTGCTTGAATGTTGCTATTATTTTTGCGGTTAGTTTGAATTTCTTCAAAATTCTTTTGTTTTTATTTTTACAGGTTTTTAATTATTGTTGATTGTTGAGGTGATGGTTGAAAAAATGGGTATGAAGTTTTTACGGATAATATTGTAAGTTCAGCTCCAACCCCAAGACAATCTCACTCTAACATTGTGTTGTGTGTTCTAAATCTAAGGATTTTTTTTTTCATATCCATGTTGTGTCTTTACTCTTTTGGTGCTATGTGTAGTTGAAAAGATTCATCAACTTTTAGTAATATACATGCCAAGTGTTTGTTTATTTGTGTGTGTGGTGAAACTGTGATCTGTTGTGTCAATGGCTCCAAGATTGAATTTTTCGAGTTGGTGGGTGAAGAATGTGCTGAAAGGGACACCAGTGGTGGTGAAAATGGAGAATACAAAAAATGGTTAAATTTATTTTATTTTATGTTTTTCATTTTTTATGAGGAAAAATAATATTTATTTGTTATACATTGCATAATAACACTAGTCACACTAGTCACCTGCCTTTGAACAACTCTTCTCTTTTGTTATTCATCACAAGAATTTATGCAACAAAAATTATTCATCACAGTATATAGTCCCTTAATTTTTTTTAATCAAAATGGTCTGCATATTCCAATGTGAAAATTATTATCAGACTAAAAGAAAAAAGTTATGAAGACAATAAACAATATATCCTATAAGTTATCACTCTCATTCTATAACCTTAAGAGTTAGACAAACCATGAAGATTTAGATTTAGTTTTATATGAACTTTATCCATCAATCCACTAAGTTATCAGTCTTTTTTAAACTCAATCCACCAAGCTATTTGTAAGGAATTTAGTTATAGTATTTTGTTTACCTATGAAACTCTAGATCCACAGCCTAATCTAGACAATGTCTCCATGTTTTTGTTTTAGTACTTGAAGCAATATGTAATCTTATTGCATGTTATCAAGACATATATTGGGAATGACTGTGTCAATTTCTTTTGTGTTTTGTTTGGTCCCAGATTTATGACATTAAGTTACTCTATAGTTCTTGAAAATGTTGTTGTCTAAGATAATGTGTTTTTATCAACATGAATTACACAAGTTATCATTCATATGTCATAACATTTATAATAACTTTTTTATTTATTATGACTTATAATGCTGGAATCATATCAGTGCATAAAAAGTCAAAATAACACAAATGCATGTGCCTGAGTTTCTAGATTACTAGTTCAATGTTAAAAAATGATAGCTTTTATTTATTTAGCATAACTTTTTAGTTTTAATTTTATGGCTTATTTAGTCCTGAAATCCATTAACTTAATTTCAGTTTTTACTTTGATCCCTTATATAATAAACATTACAATGTAATCCCTTAACAATCGTTCTGTTAAACAATTTGACCTATTCTATTAGTTTTGTTGTGAAAATGTTAAGTATGTTGATGTGGCATGCCAATAAGGATCGGAGTTCATTTGTGACTCAACATATTATAATTTATAAATCGTGTAACCTAATTTCATGTCCAATGCATTATTTTAACGTGAGGTTACTATTCATCATCTTCTTGCTCCTTCTTCATTCATATGTGAACATGTCAGTAAACTCCAATAACAAAGCAAAATCAAACACCCAAAGTTATGGGTCATTTGGATTTGTTGTGATAAGAAAGAAAAGGATGGAGTGTTGGTGCGAAGAAGATTGTGTAATGCGTACTGCTATGAATTTGAATAGTGTCAATGTTGGGAAAAATTTTTGGGATTGTAGAAATTACAGAAATCAACTGGAGAAGGGATTCAACTTTTTCAAGTGGGTAGGAGATGAAGTTGTTGATGGAAGGGATTTGAAAATTGAAAGGCAAAGGAAGAAAATATTCAAGTTGAAGAATGAGGTCTTGAGCACAAGAGGAAGGTTGAAAAATGCAATTTTATTTGGCATTATTAGTTTAGGGTTTAATATAGTTTTTGTAACAATGTATTTGAAATAGATCTGTGGGCAAGAACATGTAATTTGATGTTATGAATGTAAGAATGTTTGATTTTGCTTAAATGAAATGAGCTGAATGTTATAAATTTGTGTTGGATGTTTAAGCATTTCGGTTATTGTATGATATTGTTTGTCTGTAATTTGGGTTGAATATTATAAATATTGCTTTAACAAAAATTTTGTTTTATAACATGTTATGGATTTATGATAACATATAGTTGAAAAAAATATTTCTTTAACAAGTTGGTATGATATCATGTTGTTATGATATAATATAGTTGAACAAAATATTTCTTTAACAAGTTTGTATGATATGATATTTCTTTAACAAGTTTAACAAAATATTTCTTTAACAAAACTTGTATGTTATAGATGTATTGCTTTAACTGGTATCGTATGATATTGTTTTATAATTGTTCTATTTTGAATTATAAATAACAATTTGATGAATCATGTAAATAACAAATTGATATTGCTTCAACAAAATGTTATGGATATTGCTTTAACAAAATGTGTTGCACTGGTACAAAATATATTCTTTAACAAAATATTCTGCAAAATGTCACTGATACAAAAAGGCAACATAATAACATGTGTTATTGACATTGGTACAGAAAGGACAGTGATACAAAAGGGCATTTGTTCTTTGCCACCAATATAACAAAGTCTAAGTTAGTGTTCACAAAAGCCTAAATAAAGTATTCACATGACACTGAGTTACACAAACATGAAAAATCAAAAGTGGATCAAGTTGCTTCAAGTTGAGTTGGTGCAGGAAGACTTGAATCATGCTGACTTGGTGCAGGAAGACTTGCATCAGGCTGACTTGGTGCATGAAGACTTGCATTAGGCTGAGTTGGACCAGACTGACTTGTTTCAGGTTGAGTGGTCTAACTTGGACCTAGATGTTTGCAAGTTGCTTTGTTGTGCCTCATCATGTGGCATCTACTGCACTTGATGTCAAAATTAGCTCTTTTTAACTGAGTGTCATCCCTTATTCTCTCTAAGGCATCTCTAGTCCTCTTCTTCTGAGGCATCCTGAACTTTTGCACAATATGCCTCCCATGGACAACCTTTTTTACATATCACTCTCATCCTTTTCTTGTCATTTTTCTTGAGCTTCATGTTCCTACCATTGTGTATACCATCCTTGAAATCTTTTTTAGAAGAAAAGTATGTCCCCAATTCCCACTTATAGTCATCCATCTTTTAGGCAGTTTGAATGTTTGCTGATCTGCCTTTCCAACACATTCATCTTCACTAATATACTCTTCCAAGTCATCCTAACTATTCTCATCCTCTATGTCACTCAAACCCTTCAAATTTAAAGTTAGTTGTTCTTCCTTTGCATCACTTTCATCCAAAAAACTTCTTTTACAGATGCTTCACATACATTAACCTTCTTACATGGCCTTCCAACTTTTCCTTTCCCCTTTGGTTTACCCTTTCTTTTACCCTTTCCTTTCCCCCTTCCTTTACCATTCCCTTTCCCCTTTCCTTTACCCTTCCATTTACCTTTCCCTTTACCCTTTCCTTTACCCTTCCCTTTTTCCTCAACCACCCCATCTTCAGACACTTCATGTTCAGCTTTTGGTATCTCCTCATTCATAACCACACCATCATCAGAATCTTCAAAATTGATCTCCAATGCACTGTCATCACTGTCATCACTACCACCATCTTCTACCTCTATTCCCTCTATGTTACAATTCTCATTCTCTTCTACTTCACAGTATCCATCATTGTTACAGTTCAGTCCCTCTTCTCCATCATTGTTAGATTTCAGTCCCTCATATCCATCATTGGTACAATTCAGTCCTTCTTCTCCATCATTGTTACAGTTTAGTCCCTCATCTCCGTCACCTTGTTCAACTACAGTGGTCTCCTCGTCATGCGCAATTTCAGTGTCCCCC